GTATTTTCTAAAACGCACTGTTAAGACAGCAGGTAAAGGTTGGTCTGTGTTCTGTCGGAGCTGCCTGCGACGCGCTGATGAGATCCAAAAAGATCGAAATCGCGATCCGCGTCTGGCAGTTTCGATAGAATACAGACCTCTTCGAATTATTTCATTCAGTCAGAAACGTACATCGAAACCCTCTTAGCTGCTTATTTGTAGATAAAAGATTAAATCTAACATATTTATAACGAGGAATCGCCGTATATATTTGTGCCATCAAGGATTAAGATATTCAATCTTTTGTAAATGTTGTAAACAGCACAAAAATTAGTTTTAAAACGTTTTATACATTCGTCAAGTTTTCAAATATAAGTTTTTAAAAGATCCCAAAACTTTGCTAACATTAATCCACAAAAGTCCTTTTTCGTATTCAAGAAACCGTCATATTTATTGCACACGTAATAAATGAGAGGTAACTGCTGACCTTTAAATATCCCTAGGACGACAACCTAGAAAATTCCTTAGGGTTCTAAGTGCGAATAATCAGTGTGTCAAGGGACACATCCTGCAAAGTTCTTAACACGTCCCTTTTCAAGGTATCGAGCTTCTAGACTAGGGCTTTACCTCTAATAATAATAATAATGTGATGGTGTTCAGTGGTCGACAAAATAAATAAAAGAAGTAATGTAGGAGGATAAAACAGATGTATTTGATAGGCAGAAAGATATTGTGTTTTAATGAAATTAAATAACTAATAAAACAGAATAATTCTATACAGTTATCTAACTATTTTTTGGGAGGTTTAAGTAATTGAATTTTTGTAAAAAAGACACAAATTAATCTTTTGAAAATCTGTGCATCAATATAGGGTAAAAGTGCAGTTTACTTTTTTTTGCATATTCTTCCACAGAATTTGTCGGTGAGAAAAATACAAAAAATGATAGAAAATTTCACATTTTTAAAGTAGTCAAGGCTATCATTAATTTTCATTATGAAATACTGAGCTATCGACATTAGACGCTTCAGAATTTGTGCACTGAAAAGAAATCTTTTATAATCGCCTCATTATTTTATGTTTGTGATCGATAGAGTTTATAAATGATTTCTGATCTTCTGACATGAAACTTTGTAGCTAAAAGTTTCTTTAAAAAACCATTATTCCTTCAGATGGTAATTAATCAATATAGAGGGGGTATTTTGAACGAAGGATGGAAGTTGTAATGAAACTGTAAACAATTTAACTTTTTAACGATATGTTTATGAAAGTAGGTATATGTAAAGCGTAATCATTGTTATTAATGAATTTAACAGTTTTACCGGGCTTTATTATAAAAAACTGTAAATAGGGCTTTCATCAGGCTGCAAAAATAAAAATGATTGTATTTTTTGAAGACAATATACACTAATGACGTATTGATAATCTAACTTAAAGATATTCTGCTCCTATGCCTCGTTCAAAAGATTCTGAGAATTCGGTTAAAGTAGCAGGTGGTATTTTCAGATAGATGCAGTTGAAATAGTATACTTCACAAGTTTACTAAATTATGTAGTATCTGATAAATTTTAAAAAGCGTCAGTAGAGGGCAGTAGGGAGCGGGGCATTTTCCGGTTCAGTCAACGAGCCATGCCGCTCGGTATCCTTCAAGTATTCCTAAGGATCGGATTCCAGGTCTGGTTGGGTCTGAGGGTCTCCTCCTTCGTTTTAAACTATTTTTTTGGTCTCCATTGCTCAATGCATATTCGGTCACAGCCGACTTTTCAGTGTCCTATACAGGCAGTTATCTTTGTCTGGTTCCCATCGAGCTCTTACTGATTCCTATGTAGACCTTTCCACAGGAACAGGATATGGGGTAAACTCTTGAGGCTGAAAGAGGGTCGCCTTTGTCCTTAGCTTATCTGATGGTCTGCTGGATCTTCTCCGTAGGTTTCAAGATGGTTTTGATGTCGTGTCTCAGGACAATTCGGTCCTTTGGATGCTTATTCTGTTCAGGTCCATTGATCTCTCTTCTTTTTGTGGCCATTCTTTAAGTAGAGATTAACTGGATATTTTCCGGTCCGAAAAATTGGAATAAGTGGCTGATATTCGATATTTAGGAAGTCAGATAAGTCAGGACGGAAGGAGTAGTAGGAATATAAAGCAGAGGATAGCACACGGTCGAGTCGCCTTCAGTAAAAAGAAGTTACTTCTATGCTCGCGAAAGGTTAATTTAGAAATTCAAAAAATATTGTTTAAAAGGTATGTTTAGAGTACGGTGCTGTACAGACACGAAACATGGACGGTGGGCGCGGTAGAAAAGAAAATGTTACAAGAGTTCGAAATGTGGTGTTACAAGTGAATGTTGAGGACGACCTTATGATAATGAGATCCTTCTAGTTCGTTCAGTCAGGCATCTGTCTTGGGTGGTACCTTTCCGTACCTATATGTAAGCTTTCTGTATACTTTGTGATCCAATTTGTTGCTTCATTTGGTTACTAATACCTCCAAGAACGCTAACTCCATGGTGAACTGGATACTGGGGTGTTGTCTGTTCAGGTATTAGAGGAAGTTGTTTTCAGATTTTACTCGCGCATCGGAACGAAACAGTTAGATTGTACTCCGAGGTCTCAATGGCTTCCCATTGCTACCTGCTCGTAGAAATCCATCCTCCGCATTAAATAGCATCCAATGCGGCAAACCTCAAAGAGTTTGCAAATGTCAGCAGGACCAAGTCAAGGCACCCTGTCAGCGGTACTTTGGTGAACAAAACGATACGACGTCGAAGCGCGCAAAGACGTCTCCAGGTTTAATGTTGATATCTTGAATCTTGCGTACATTTACACTTAAAGCTGGAGTAGCGATGTCAAGAGTTTCGCTAAGTAGCATGGTGGTAATCCGGGGGCGCTTACTATCGATCTCAGAAGAACATTAGCCTTGTGGATCTTAAGTAATCCATATAGCCTCAGTAGATCGGCTTCCATCCTCAGAATATGCTATTGGGTGTTGTGCGCGTGTAAGGGATAGGTTTCCATAATTGTAGGAAATAATAATAAATGATCTTACACGAACACTACAAACTTTATTTTAATTTAACAGTTAACAAGCGCGAGAGAATATAGCAGATAAATGGCGGAACAACTAGTAGTAGACTATATCGATTATATTTTNCAGGACCAAGTCAAGGCACCCTGTCAGCGGTACTTTGGTGAACAAAACGATACGACGTCGAAGCGCGCAAAGACGTCTCCAGGTTTAATGTTGATATCTTGAATCTTGCGTACATTTACACTTAAAGCTGGAGTAGCGATGTCAAGAGTTTCGCTAAGTAGCATGGTGGTAATCCGGGGGCGCTTACTATCGATCTCAGAAGAACATTAGCCTTGTGGATCTTAAGTAATCCATATAGCCTCAGTAGATCGGCTTCCATCCTCAGAATATGCTATTGGGTGTTGTGCGCGTGTAAGGGATAGGTTTCCATAATTGTAGGAAATAATAATAAATGATCTTACACGAACACTACAAACTTTATTTTAATTTAACAGTTAACAAGCGCGAGAGAATATAGCAGATAAATGGCGGAACAACTAGTAGTAGACTATATCGATTATATTTTTTTACGCGCCACGTTTTAAGACTCCAGAGTGACTAAGACCATAGACTAGTGAAGACTTGACAAGCCCGCGACAACCAACGTCATAGAAGTTAGATGTTCTATGACCATAGACATAACATGATACACTACAGTGTCTTCAGATAGAGACGATAACTTGATGAGTCGATTAACAAGGCATGATCCCGTTTGCATTGGATGTTAATTCAAGGGCTTGTGACTTTCCGGTTCCAAGAGCTCCCCAAGTAATACAACTGGCACAGGAGGTGTCGCCAGTTCACATCCAGCATCAGAGATGGAAGAGTCTATGAAGAAGCTCGCCACTCGGGCTATCGAAACGTTAGGAAGTAAC